TGGCGTCCTCTCTTACGTCCATCTCCAACAGTGCCTTGCATGATGGCCTTTACACAGACTGCCATGCCTTGTAATGTATCCAAACCCCGCCAGTATATATATATATATATATATATATATATATATATATATATATATATATATATATATATATATATATATATATATATATAATAGCTGGCCACACTTTTTCGAAGATACCCGTCTACTAGAGCGGTTAGCCAATCCCTATTGCAGACGCTCGCTCAGGAACATTTATGTTTGCTCAACACCCACAGAGCCCACCTCTGTAACTATACTGAGCAGACCTTAGTTACAGTTTCTGGGAGAGAGTATGTTATTTTTTTTTGTCTAAAGTGTTAGATATTCTGACAAGTTGTCTCATGGTTACACCAATATACCAGTATATATATATATATATATATATATATATATATATATATATATATATATATATATATATATATATATTATGAAATGGATAAAAGTACGACAATTATTTTTAAGACATTTTTATGTTTATACATTCTTTTTTTATAGATACAAATATTTAAGTAAATGCTCTGTTTATAATAAACAGTATTAAACAACATTTCTCGGACATTCAGGCTGGTAAATATTGTTTAATACTGTTTATTATAAATATATATATATATGTGTGTGTGTGTGTGTGTGTGTGTGTGTGTGTGTGTATTGAATTCATAACCTTATATTCTTTAAATTATATAATCCATAAATTAATCCCAAGCTAAAATAATATGAATAATAATAACATTATTAAAAAGTACATTATGTCCCTTAGTATCCTCCTTAATTTATGTAGACTTATAAGTTAGCCTTAAACTTAAAAACTTTGAACAACTAACATATTTACTTAATAATAAAATCCTTACATTTGCCTTGATAAAGCCCATCAGAGGACGAAACGCGTACCGATCTGATATTCGAGAAATCTTCTTAGAAAATATGTCCTTTTTCTGTATACTAGAATATATATTGCTCTGTTTTCTATTTTAATGTGTCACATTTTTACGTGTTTTACGGCATCATTTTATGTAATATTAATCCTTTTGTATGGCAGTAAATGCGAGACAATCTGTCCGCAGAAGGCAGCAGAAATATGGTTCTACAGAAGGGTACTGAAAATTCCATGGACGAAGCCAGTAAGCAACGAGGTAGTCTTAAAATAAACGGCATCGAAAAGGACACTTATACTCAGAATCAGGAAGAGACAGCTCTTGAACACATAATGAGGTAGGTGAACGTACAAAACTTAACCCTCACAGGCCATAGCCAGTGCAAGAGAGATGGTTGAGGAGTTACCTCGCTTGTTTGAGTAGATGGTGGAACTGGGAGCGGGAGGATTAGCAAAAGGAAAAACAACGCTAAAAACTACAGGAGATAGGAAGTTATGAAGAGCCATGATTGCCCACGTCCTGAAAAGACACGGCACGAAGAAGAAGAAGAAGAAGAAGAAGTAGAAGAAGAAGAAGAAGAAGAAGAATCTTATGTATAAAAAATATTATTAGATAGATAGATAGATAGATAGATAGATAGAAATAATAAACTGACTCAGATAGATAGATAGATAGATAGATAGATAGATAACGTTTTTATTACGATCAGTTCAATCAAAGTAAATGACATCTAATAAACAGTCAGTGATAAACGTATTCGGTCTCAATGTCTTTTTAGATAATCCTGCCAACCAGTGCATTTCAGTGCATTATGCATTCACCCTACAAATGTAATAAGCTTCAAATCCATCATGTTTTAGTCCACATATTCGATTCACAGAATTACAACTTATTAATAAATATGAAGCTTCTACAGTTTGCCTTTATCTTCATCCGATCAACGAGCAAAAAAAAAAATAAATAAAATAAATAAATAAATAATAAAATCTCAAAAGTTAGAGACTTTATAAATAGATATTCAAGATGGACATCAGCTGCTAACTTGAAATCAGATTTTCGCCTTCTTTGTCTGGGAGAGGATAATTTCCATCGCCAAATCTGTTTGTCATTAACAGTATCTTGGAGGATGTGGCGGCAAACGGGGTTACCAATCGCATAAAAATGACTTCCTTATAATAGCACTACTTCTTTGTATGTGTTTTTTTTTTCTTATTTTATCGTATTTTAATTGACTTATTTTTTTTCTTCAGATTTATGAATAACTTATTTGATATCAAAAATTTTAATCAAAGAGATCTGAAAAGACTGTTTTAGAAACTCCACAGCTGCTAGTTGCCTCAAGTTTCCTCTTCATCTCCACCATTCACTGCCATATAGTAGAACTGATAATGCAGAGTACCATGGACGGAGTATATGGGCAATGTGGAAGTTTTACAGAAAAAAAAATCTAAATAAAAAATGACGCATATACTTAGAATCAGAGAGAGACAGTTGAAATGTCCGGGATACATAATGAGGGAAGAGGGGTTGGAGTTAAACTCACAGGATATATTGAAAGCAAAGGAATCAGCGAGTAACCTACATAACAAGCTTCTGGCGGAAGACGGGGTTAGAGGTGTAGTAAGAGACAAACATCCTTTAGACATCATTTAAAAGTTGTAAAAAGGCATGAACGCTCACACCCTGAAGAAGCACGGCACATAAAAGAAAAAGACTGATACTAGTCACAAGACAGACATTACGGAACTGAATAATTCAAGAGGATTCAGTAAATATTTGTGTGTCATGAGACACTAAGACGTGTAATTGAATTTTAATTCTAATTTTACAGTGTCTTTTCTTCTGCTCTATTCAGAAATTTCTTTTAATTGTACATTAGAAACTCATTATTTCAGTATTGCACGAGTGGTTAGAACGTTCGTATTCTAACCATGAAACACGGGTTCGAATCTCACTACGATCGATTTGTTAGGAAGGTGACTTCCTGATGTTATCGGACTGGAAAGTGCCGGACCTTGGAAAGTGCCAGAAAACGATGCCACGGGTTGACCCAAACCTTGTGAGTGAAATTGGGTAGACGGAACCTAGCTAGCACGAAATCACAAGTCATCGTGGCCGAGGGAATGAGCGTGCTGGCTTTGTTCAAATTGTTGATCACACTAGATAACACGCTCTTTTCCAGAAACTGTAACTACTCAGCATAGTTGCAGTAGAAACCACAGGTAGGCTCTGCGGGTGTTGAACAAACAAAAATGTGCCTGAGCAAGCGTCAGCAATAGGGATTGGCTAGCCGCCCCAGTAGACGGGTATCCTCGAATACGAGTGGCCAGCTATAAACATTTCTGCATTTATATGGATGTGGAACTTTCTCACCATGAGACCCGGGTTCGAATCTCGTCGATTTGTCAAGAAGGTTACTTCTTAATGTTATCTGTCTGAAGGAGGACATCTCAAAGTGCGGCACATTTAGAAAGTGCCTGAAAAACCATAGCACGGGTTGACCCAAGCTTTGTGAGTAAAATTGGGTAGACAGAACTCTTTGGGAGCCGTCGATGTTTGTGCTAGCACGAAGTCACAAGTCATCGTGACCGAGGGTTTGAGTGAGCTGGCATTGTTCAGACTATTGATCACGCTAGATAACGCGCTCTCTCCCGGATACGAGTGGCCAGCCATGTACTTATCTTGGTTTTATTATTTTTGAATATATATTTTTTTTTTTTGCGTATTGTATTTTATCTCTCTTTTCTGGTTGTAAGCATATAAGCTCTTTTTTTTTTGTCAAACATAAAACTAAAATAAACTAGAAAGTACTCAATGAGTGCACTATTTCGCCATCTCAACTGTCGCTAAAACGGAACAGATCGCAAAGGATGAAGCACGTTGGCAAATGTCGTCAGTCTTAGATTAAACAAAAAAGAACATGAAAGAAAAGATCACAATTAGCATTGTCTCCATGCTTTTGTCTTTTCATTAAATTCCTTTTGTTTGTTTGTTTCTATGTTATATTCAATGAGTGTTGAGCTGACAAAATAAACAAAAGGCATGTGTACATGTTTCAGGTTTAGATACGTGTCTAATTGAATCAATTCATATATAATCATTTAGAAGACATTACCTTTCGCGTCAATATTGTTACGTCACGACACCCGTAATCCATTAGGGTCGTAAAGGTACCACGCATGCTGCAACCATGACACCCCTCTTCATATTGGTTTTGAGGTTGATCGGTTTGTTTTTTACGGTTTATCAACCCTTTTAAGAATATTTAAAGCCGAAACATATTTTGGGATTGCAAGAAAAATGATTTTCTGGTGCAAGTCTTATTATTTAACCCATAGCTGTGAGGAGAAGCGGTGGATTCATACCTTTCCCAAGTAAACAAATATAACAAACTCGACTGGAATTCAAACTCTGCTCTCCAATTTATCATTCGAGCTTTTATCCATTACACCAATCGCACGTCCAAGTTTACAGCACCTGATATTCCCGAGCGAGGGTCACCCATCTAGTTACTGACCAGATTCAAATGTTGCTTAACTTCGGTGATTGGACGAAAATCGATGTTTGAACACGATATGGCCATAAAACAGGAAGGTTTTGAGTTTTTCGTCTCCTAGACTGATTGCTACTTCAATGGCTTTTATTTCTCCTATAAATGTAGAAAAGATGGCGTCATGTCTTTTTGAAAGTGAACAAAACAGGATCGAGCGGGAATTGATTCCGCGACGATAAACGTTACATTTGCGTCGATATTTACGAATTCATAAAATTAAAAAAAAAAAATTAAAAAAAAAGGCCATTGAAAAAATTCAAATCAGAGAAATATAACTGCAAGAGTGACAATGAAGACTTTCTTTGTCTCTGCGTAAATATGAAACAGCACCAGCAGTGTCACTCGTAGCCAATTGAAAAGTCGTTTTCAGTGAGATGGCTTACTTGACCTCCAGGATCATTGTTTGAAATGTTGATATGCTGAAGCAAGCAATCCTTACCTCAACTGACTTTCCCTACGCAACATCAACTCGGTAATATATGTTATACATTTGCAGTCTGTGTTTTTAATCCCGAAATAGGATCGTACGCATGAAATATTTCTGGACGAGTTCCGGCCGGGACCTTGTCATCTGCTTTCAACATGGCGTCCTTACTGCTACTCATGTGAAATGTGCCCTCTACCAACTCGCAAATTTTACATTAACATTAATACCCCAAAAACACATTGTGGACAATTTGATATTGAAGATTAAATTTTCATGTTCATCAATCATCATTTTTTATAATGTTTTTTGCTTTTTTCTGGTTTTGTACTTAAAAAATCTCTTTATTCAATGTAAACTTTTTTTTATCTGTATTTCTTACCAGAAATTATTTTTCTTTTCGTCACTTTACTTTGGATGTTTTTCGTTATTTATTCGTATTTCATTTTGTTTTCAATTCCGGATTTTTAATTAATTAAAAATCACAAGAATCTTAAGAACAATAGTAATAACGATCATCATCATTATTAAAACAATTCGTGAAGAAAAATTAAATTAAATATATGTAAACAAAAGAACAAGTTTTTTTGTTTTTTTGTTTGTAAAATACATAAGTAGTGATTATTGTTGTACAATGGTTTTAATTAAGTTCACAATGAGGTACAAGCGATGTATGTAACAAGTTTGTGTGTAGAAATTTCCCTTGGTTTTATGTGTGTGTCTGTGCCGGTTTGAGAAAAAAAAGATTGTAGCCAAAATTAGCTTGGTACGATGTTTTTATCAAATTTGCAGTTCGGCGTAATCTTAGACAAAATGTCCGGGGAGGCTTGTAGACAACTGTCCGTGATACAAATGTCCAGTACACAACTGTCCGTCCATCGTCTGAATCATTCCCATTGCTTTTCGAAACAGATTCCTGGCAGTTTGTTTTCCCAATCACTTTAAACTTGACCTCTTCACGTCTAAGGTTAATCATTATCTTTCCCTACATAACCACATGAACGCTCATATATGACCACATAGTAACCCACTAGCTCGAGGTTATCCAAATAAGTAATTTCTAAATTTAAATCTTACCACGGACCTATAGAACTAGGACCTAACAATATACGTACTCAAGTCTGAATCATCCTCATTTCTTTTGTATTCCATTAGTAAAGAGGAAGTTCTATCCAGACAAAATCCAAAAGATGCAAAAAGTTGAATAAATCGGGTGTTAGAAATGCATTCAACTTCGAAAGAAAAACCGACTTTTGATTATTGAAATCGTTTTCAAGTGTTTATAAGAATTTAATAACTAAATAAGAAGGCTAAATTTTATTGGGAATAATTGACTAATTCTCTTCATCCCAAGTAAAGGCGGTAAATCTACTAAGATGCAAGGTGCCATTCAGAGTAAAGAAAGGAAAATATAAGCGTTCAAGGAGGCAGAAGATGACGCTTGACATTGCATTTATATTTTTTGAAGATTGTAGTTGACGTGAAAAGCTAGAAACCGGAAGAGAGTTCTACAAGCGAGAAGTGCGAGAGAAAAAAAACTATTAGCCTAGAGCTTATGGTTACATCTGGCAATTCCAACAGTAAAATGATGAGACCTAGCTGCCAATCTAGTACTGCGCTTAAATTCCTGAAGCCAATGTACCAAAGAGGAAAGCTCATCGGAACATCTACTGTGAAAATATTTATAGACACGGCACAGGGGATTTACAGCGTTAGGAATGTGTCTGAAGCCGAGATGCCAGGTAAGGACCGATAATGCTGAAGATTTTTCTTTGAATTTTATCTAGAATCTCCGGATATATATATCAGAAACATGAAACCATATGCGACAGCAATATTCGATGTATATGACGATAAACTACATCCGGCAGCAAGGCCTCTGACTGGGAGGTTTTGAGGAGCGTTTTACCACCTCTTAATTGCTGTTGTTCCCAGAACCACACTGATCCGGAGTGGTAGCACCTGCTAGGGTCCCAACTATCAGCAAATAATGAACCCCAAAACTGGGATCAAAACACTATGAAAGTATAAAAATACATTTTTAAAATTTCCAGCAATAGTAAAATAGTAAAAAAAAAAAAAAATACCAAAGCTCCGAAGAAAATTAAATTTCGGCATTAAATGACCCATAAGGAATTGATATGCCGTAAACCAAACCAATCGATCAATCATAAATGTGCAAGATAGATTCTACTGAGAAAAAAAATAAGGGGCTACTGGGAGTGAAAGAGAATGAAAAATCTTTAAAAGGAACAGGAGAGTCAATTTTAAACAGGAAACAAGTGATAAACTCTACTCTTGTTCAAAAGGCAGGGGAGGAGTGTGGACCAGACGATAAGGGAGCTGTTGGGAAGGGGTAAATAAATAGTAAATAAAAATTCAGACTTTAGGTTGAGAGGTTATAATTATAGAATTGAATTAGACATGAGAAGGAACTGGAAACCCAATCCTAAACAAGAAACAAGGGATAAACCTCTACTCCTGTTGCTGCACTTATCTTTTAATTTCTTTACCATCACTCTATCTTTCTCTTCCCCACTCTCTCCCTCTCTCTCTCTCTCTGTCTCTCTCTCTCTCTCTCTTTCTCTCTCTTATACACTCTTCCTTTTTTTCACCTGATACTGACTCGTTCTCCTTTTCTCAGCTTTCGTCGTCTCATTTGCGAACTTATAATTTTCTATTATCCCGTATGTTTCTTTGTTTTATTACTGAAGTTTTCTTTGCTTTTTCAGTTTCTTTACTTTCAAGGTTTCTGCTCTTTTCTTGTTTCTTTCTTTCTTTTTATTATTCTCTATGTCCTTTCTTAAGACTTTTCTTCTTTCTTACCTTTTCATTTCAGACATTATCTTTTATTGCATCTGTAAAAAAAAGTTCGTAACGTTTTTTAGTGAATTTTAAAATCAATATTTAGAGAATTGTACATAGATTTATTCAACTTCGCGTGTGCCATTTTGTTCTGTTGCATTTTACCATCTCTGAGGCAGCTTCATGATTCAATCCCTCTAGAACTTGACATCGTTCTGCGGGAACTACTCTAATTGGTTTTTACACGCTTCTAGAGAATTAAATATACTTTTGTAGGGATCGAGATAAGTGTCAATCCGAAGGTGCAAGGACAAGGTGAGTAAGATGATTAAGTCAATTGTAATTGGACTGCCAAGTCATGCTACTCCATTTTTAGTCGGACCTGCAAAGAGACATGAGGTCTGGTATTATCCTGATTTCAGATGGCATCCTCCCGATTGGTCAATGTTATGGAGTCCTCCCCTTTTTTCATATAAATGGACTCGACCATAGTGTTACTTGGACTGCTGCCGTTAAATACCCAGATTCAGTCAGAATATAGAGAGTGAGCAGAGATTGTGATTGTGTTGGAGGTAGAGTAATAGTGTGAGGTAACCGCTTGTAGAAGTCACAGTTACAAGCACGTAGACGCTAAGGAAGTCCTACTTCGAGACTATATATATATATATTCATGAATTATTCACACAAAAACTAATGCAAAGGTTAATGATTTAATTGGCGAGAAATCCATCATCGCAAACAATTCAAATAATATACAAAAACCTCCAGTAAAAAATTCGTTCATCACCATATATGTATATGAACGCACAACTTTTAAAAATTTAAAATCAAACTCAGCGTTGCTACTGCGCGCTCCAAAAACAATAACTCATTTCCAATAGCATTTTCGGATACAACAATACATATATTTTCGTTGTCCTCTTATTACTAAGAGAAAAAACAAGAACAACATCTATTCTATACCTGAAGATGTCTGTAGGAACAGACGAAAGCTTGTAGTAAAAAATAAGAACTAATACGGCAGAAATTTATATAAACAAGGATCATTTCATTCATAACGGATTCGGAGGTTTTGTATATTATTTGAATTGTTTGCGATGATGGATTTCTCGCCAATTAAATCATTAACCTTGCATTAGTTTTTGTGTGAATAATTCATGAATTTGTAAATTGATTGCACGTTTATATATATATATATATATATATATATATATATATATATATATATATATATATTATTATTATTATTATTATTGCCACTAACCGCGTTCCTGGATTTACTAACAGTATTACTCATTGTATTATTGTGTAAATACATTTAATTTCTTATATTTAATTCTTGCGTTTGTCATTCATTGGAGGCCGAATTTCATCTCGGAATCCACAACAGTCAATCCTGAAATATTTTCACTGATTGCCCTAATCGATCCAATTGGGAACAGTAGTTTTCTAAATTCACTGTCTGATTTTTCAACTCTCGTAATACAGAAATGCCCTTCCAATATCACTCGATACACTGCATCACATAATTCAGATGCAAACCGGTTTTCGTTTTTCCCCAGGACCTTTTTTACTACATATTGTTGTAAACAATCCATTTTTCCTCGCCTGAAATCTCTTTTTTCAAAAATGGGTAATTTTTGTTGTTTGAGCAGGGGATCACATCTAGAAATGTTGTCCATTCAACGTTTCCCTTAAATTATAAGACACCCAAACATCGTAGAGATTCACCTATCCAAATGTTTTCAAGCAACTTTCATACTAGATGGTGGAACTAATGGCGGGAGGATTAGCAAAAGGAAAAACACTGCTAAAAACTACAAGGGATAGGAAGCTATGAAGAGCCATGATCGCCCACATCCGGAAAAGACGCGACACGAATAAAATAATAATAATAATAATAATATCAATCTTATGTATAAAAAATATCATAAGATAGATAGATAAATAAATAAAGTGAATTAGATAGATAGATAGATAGATAGATAGATAGATAGATAGATAGATAGATGGATGGATGGATGGATGGATGGATGGATGTATAACTTTTTATCACGGCGTTCATATTAGATATGTGCATGATCTCTGCGATGACCGGGAATATTTTTAATCGGCGTTTCGATTCGGTCATCGTCAATGGCTGCAGGCCTGCCGGAACGTTCTCGGTTTTCCAGATCAAAATTTCCCCTTCTGAACCCAGCGAAACACGAATACTACGAATGCTATGACACGATCACCATAAACGATATATATCATCTTTTGCTACTTGTAACAGTGTTTTTTTGTTTTGTTTTTTTTTTTTGTTTATTTTTTTTTGGGGGTCGCCGTTTCCGGAAATAAAAGAGAATAGAATGACTAAGAAGCATCTCATATACTGCGATTGTCTGTTTTAACGAAAAACATTTAAAATCTAGTAATAAATCCTATAGAAATATGTGTTACAATGTCATATGTGTAATATTTATATATGTCAGGTGTGTAACGAAATTAGGTGTTCAAATGCCACCTATTGAAAAACATTACGAATTTTCGTTCCAACCAAATATTGTACAATGTTTAACTACTTTTACAAGCTTAAAAGCACCGTGCGGACTTTAAGCTCGCTTAGAAAATACCAATGATAATTTTGAAGGAATAACTGAGAATTCCTCAAGTCACTCGATGAAACATCAAAACTTCACTTCAACTCTAATTCGGGCTATAAGTTCAATTCCAACCAAAAGACAAATTCCGATTTGGGCCGAAATTACAATTCAGAGCGAAAATTGAGTTCTTCAAATCACAACTCCGTGGAACATCAATTGAGTTGAAATCTTCGAACTGCGGAACTTTAAAACCTCACGTCACAAAAGTCCTCTCATTTTAACTCTGATTCTTTGGCATTTTTGAAGAAATAAAATTGATTTCCACAATTCACAAAGTTTGGTAGAAATTTTAAATTCAATTTAAAACAAAAAAATTTAAATTCACTAAGTTTTTCTTTTACTTTATACTCATTATATACTTTTTTTTTTCAATTATTTTAAAATTTGAAATTTCAAATGTTTCCTCCTCATCCGGACACAATTCCCAATGCAGAATGTTCAAGCAGCAGATAAAGGGCAGATGTTCAATCCTGGAATCATCCTGGTTCCGAAAAGTTCTGGTTCTATGTAGAGCAAGTGTGACCCCAGTTAGAGGCGTTTCAGGCACACGGACGGACGGAATTTGCCGTTTATTGAGTTTTTCAAATCACAAACTCTGCGGAACTTCAAAAACAAGTCACCTCTCATTTTAACTCTGATTCCTTGGCATTTTGAAGAAATAAAATTAATTTCTTCAATGCAAAGTCTGAGAGAAATTTTGAACAGAATTTAAAACAAAAATTTTAAATTCACTAGGATTTTCTTTTACTTTAAACTTAATATAAAATAAAAGGTTTTAAAATCACTAATTTTTTCAGTTATTTTAAAATTTTAATTATTAACTATTTCCTCCCATCCGGACACAAATCCCAAATGCTGGATGATCAAGCACCAGAATGGCAGATTTTCAATCTCCGATCATCCTGATTCCCCAAAAAATATAATATATCTATGTATACCAAGTGTGGTCCGATTAAGAGGCGTTTTAGTCACACGGACGGACGGAATTTGCCGTTTATTTATCTCTATCTATAAAAGGCAGGATGTGTGTGTGTCTGTGTGTGTGTGCAACGAATGCACGGCCGCAATTTTCGACGGATTTGCACCAAAATTTACATGCACATGCTCCAAGTTAGCGAGAAGGCAAAGACCGACTTTGCATTTACCAACTTCCATCGCTAGTAGAAATAATCAATTTTTTCATGCTTCTACGTCAGTTTTCATTTAGTTTGCGGTCATTTTCTACTGAAGAGTGAGAGCCTATAGCTGGCTGCCACGAATAGGCAGGAAGATTCTATTGGCCAGCGTGAGAGCCAACACCTGAATGTTAACTAGCATGCTAGCATGCAAAAAAAATCGATAGCTGCATTCGTCACATGTGGGAAAAATTTAAATCTGCATGGCACTTTACTCCAATTGGCTCATTCGCTTGCTTAAACTCAACGTTGATTCTGATTCCGCAGAACTGGGTTGGGTGTGAAAAAGTATTTGTTATTAACATTCTTTTTTCATTCGGTTTTTCCAGTTACGAGTCCTTTTTTTATAGCTGATCGTTTTGTGTTCATTTTGTTTAGTTCTTTTTTCGTAACAGATTTAATGTTTAGTATAGAGCTTAGAAAAAAATTCGCGGTGTGAAATAGGCAAGAAGTAAGGCATATAGCAACATCAGCAAAGGGCACTCGTTTAAAGGCAAGAAAGGGCAAAAATATTTTAAGTCAAGTGATAGCGATTGCTGTATGAGTCGTACGATTTTTGAATCAAGCACGGGCAACGCCGGACCATGCTGCTAGTTTAGATATATAAGACAGATAGAAGATAGATAGAATTTAAATTTTTAACTATTCTCTCCATATTTAGACACAAATCCCAATGATGGATTTTCAAGCAGAAGATAATGGGTAGATTTTAAATCCTGGAATCATCCTGGTTCGAAAAAGGTATAATATATCTATGTAGAGCAAATGTGACCCGAGTTCGAGGCGTTTCAGACACACAGACAATCGGACAGACAGAATTTGCCGTTTGCTTATTTCGATTTACAATTTACTGTACTTTTCTATCACTTTTCGTTTTGCCCTCATTTTTTTCTCTCTCATGTTGTCTTTTCTTCTCTTTCACCGTTAGTTCTGCTACGTCTTCCATTGATCTTTTTTTCTTTGCTTTTTCTCTTTCTTTTTTTTTTTTCTTCTTTTCTTTCTCTTTCTTCCTCATGTCGCTGAATGTATATATAAGCCTGCTACTCTTCTCTCTATGAAGTGCTTCTTGACAGATTTTACGACTCAAACTTTTCGGATCCCCCACTGATCAGTAGATTGTTTCTAAAGATACCAGCAACTCTAGACTTGAAGATCACCGCCTTTGAACGATTCGTCGAAGGAATCAGCTCGACGCTGATAAAAACGCGGAATAATGAAACGATTTGACAATAAGCCACACATTTGGTAACAAT